TTTTTGTTCTGTCACTGTCATTCTGTTACACTGCGGAAGCTTCTGTCACGAAAACAAATTCCGATATGTAATGTGGGGTTTGGGTTTTGTTTTTGTTTCATGTCCATGTCTTTTATTGTGTAATTGTTTCCTGATGTTAGTGTCATGCTTCCCTTGCCTCATGTCTCTCTGCCTTGTGTATGTGTCATGTTCTTATTGTTTGTTTTAGTCATGTGTCTTGTTTCCCATTGGTTTGTTCTTGTCATGTGACCCTCTTGTTTCCTATAAGTAGCCATCATGTTGCCATTGTCTGTAATCGTGTATTGAAGTTGTAACCCGCTGTTGGTGAGTCTAGTCTGTTTGTGCCTCGTCAAATCTGTTCATGCCTAGTTAAGTCTGTTCATGCCTCGTCAAGTCAAGTCTGTGTATCTTGTTTGGATTATGTTTGGAGTTTGGATCACCTGTAAATAAAACTGCACTTGGGTTCTCACTACGCTCGCCTTCAGTGGACTGATTCGGTACACAGGCCTGAGGTTTGCACCGTATGCTGTTGTCATTAGCCTGTTTCTGATAAACCAGCAGGATGGTCAAATGAATAGACGAAACAGTGGTATGGACAAGTTTAAATATATAGTATGTGGTCTTATCAGCCCATACAATGGTTCTGAATAGATTTGCGTGCAATCTTTAACTGGTACTCTCAGCAAATATACTACCGATGAAACCAGTTACTAAAAACACTGGTGACGATGCACCATTAATCATAGACTACTAATAGTGTGGTATTCAGCTGTTGATTATATTGTGGTATGTCAGATATGATCTAAACTATTACTCAGTCCCTCAATTAAAACAGTGAAGCATTAGCTCGGATCATATTAAGGTTTAATGCAGAATCAGTATGCCTTTCACTGGAGAGTGCATCAATTTCCCCATGATTTACATCTGTGAAATATTAAATATGACTGTGAAAAATTAAAAGTGAATTTATATTTACAAAAAATATTTGATTAACTTCTATAAAATATGTGAAGTACAGAAGAAGAAAAAAACTTCCCTTTAGCACATTTAACAATTAGAGGTCTTGCAAAGCAGCTTTACAGGGATAAAAAGAACTCTCCAGTTCTGAGTTTAGTCAGAGGATGCAGAGTGATCTAATACCTTTAAGTTGGTTGCCACATGCTCACTCATACAAAAGGTGTAATTTCCATAGTCAGACAGCTACAGCTTGCTTAGTCAGTGATAGACAGAAATCAAAAGGTCCCACATGATGAGCCACACGCTCCATTCACTGGGCCTTCAGTTTGATCTATTCTGGATGCAGATTTGCGGTAATACCAAACTCCACTTAATCTACTAGTCATAATGATTTCAGAAGAGTTCAGAATAAATCAAATATAACATTTTATTTGTCAGGAAAACATACTCGAAACATTTTCATCAAGCCCTGAGGAAGACACACCCCTCAGCAGCAGAACAGAATTGTTCAAAAGTTTTCTCATAATATGAGACCTTTAGAATGATACTAAACATGAAGGGGAAAAACAAAAGATTCACAAGATCAAAAAATATGTTGTAGATATTCTTAGTGAACTTACAGTGAAGCCTGGTGGGAGAAGAGTAAAAAGGGGAGAGGGGGGTCATAAATGAGCAAGGAAAGAAGTTTGGCAAGGTGGTGTCATTTGTTCTTTCTTTTCTCCAGATTAGTGAGTTTTATTGTTTTGTTGCATGGCATCTGTTTTATGAGAGTCCCTGAATTTTGGCTTCATGAGGAGATCAAAGCGGCCTTACACTGAAAACTACTGTTGTTCCCATCAGCCATGGGTTTTCAAATACCACCCTAAATGTGCGTGTTATTCTTGACATCACTTCCTTTCAGTTTTTTGAGAAAATGGTTTGCATTTGTTGCAGCCCCACCTATAGCATGATTGTTAAAGCCTCTGCTCACAGGATGCTGGTTCACCACAAGTCAGATCGGGAGGCTGGTCTCAATGCAGCTTAAAAAGAAAAATGACTTTCCACCTTTAACTGTTTAAAAACTGTTTGATATAACAACTTCAGTCAGGTTTATTTTTGATTTCAAACTGAAGAAACCTGTGATAGATGTGCCCCACATACTGCTTTTTTTATTTGTATTTTTTATGATTAAAGTGCACTGAAGAGAGAGACGAAAAAGACATTTCCTTCTATATGTTGTTGATGCGCACACATTTAATGTTCCTCTGGTTCACACTAAAAGTGACTGTCTCATAATTTCAAAGCTAGAAATGTTTGTTGAGGTATTTCTTGTGTGCTTTTGCTGGAGTGTTGAATGCCTGTCATAATCCAACAGGATTATGGACACAACAAGGTTGGAGGAACAAGGAAGTTCACATAAAACTTTGCACTCATCAACATTTTTTGAAACAATGATTCTTTGAACCACACCCACAAAACTTAAAACAGAAACCAGAACAATAACAGAACTTAAGAATTGGCATGCATGTCTGTAAAAATAAAACATGAAATGTTTTTAAACACACTCATGGATCTACAACACTTTTTGGTTACATAATGTTACATTATGTTGTTACTGTACATAATAATTGACCCTTTGTCTGCCTCTCACACACACAAACACTCAGCGCGTGGATAAGCACGTTTGGTTCACCAAACATCCTTTTATTACTATTGAAAACAACTTTAAAATATCACCAAACCTGTACATTTATTCAGTTTTGTAGGTTAAATGGAAGTAGATATGACATCATGATTTCCTGTCAGGTTTACATTATAAGTGGTTATAACAGGAAGCTTTTCTTACTCACGCAAGATCTTTGTTCGCTGCTGGCTCTGCTTTGACTCCATCTGCAAATGGAAAGGTTTAAAATCTTCCTTTTGACAGGTAGGATGCCATATTTGCTAGATTAATTAATATATTAATATAACAGAAACCAATAAAACTATAACTATCACTATACTGTAATGCCTTTTCACAGTGAGATCTCTGAATCTTTGTGTTAATTTATAGTGGCAGTGAGTGTACAAGTAACATCTCAAGACAGCACTGGTGGTGAGATTTATATTTTTATACTGGTGTCTGGTTTGTATGTGAACTTTTAATGACTATTTTAACTGTTTTATTTTCAAGTTTCAAGTCACTTTTTAACACAATTGTGTATTTAGCCTCTCTAACCTAAGGATTATTCATCCTCTAGAACCTCCCATTCAGATTTCCAAGCCAGAGATAACTCTGAATCCATCTCATGCGGTGCTGTACAGCACGGAGACAGTCACTCTGAACTGTGAGGTCCCTGAGGAACCACCAGGGTTACAATATGACTGGTACAAGGACTCAGCTGATCTTAGTGAACATCAGCTCAGCATCACTGCGAGAGGCAGTGGAAAATATGAATGCAAAGCAAAAAAAGGAGCTTCTGAGTCAGAAAAAAGTACTAGTTATGCTTTAACTCTAAAAGGTAAATGAATATCACAAATATCTATTTACAGTATAACTTTCTCTCTTTACTATATATACCAATCCCAGCACCAATGCCGATTCTGGTATGTAAGTGGGCCGAAAAGTCAACGTACAATTAAGGATAAATATGTAAATAATAATGGATATATATGGATACTACAAGGTTAAAAAATGTGGGGTCAGTAAGATTTTTTTAATGTACAGTAAAATACAGTAAAAACAGTATTGTGAAATATTATTTTCAAATGAGTGTTTTCTACTTTAATATATATGTAAAGCTGAATTTTCAGCAGCATTACTCCAGTCTTCAGTGATCCTTCAGAAATCATTCTGATATGCTGATTTGCTGCTCAATAAATATTTCTTCTTTTTATGGTATTAAATTGTAAATAGTATTAATTTCTTCATAAAATAATAATAAGAATAAAAACCTAACAAAACTTTTGAAAAGTAGTGTACATATTATGTATTATCTATCTGTATTATCTATCTAATCTCATTCACATTACAGTTTAGTCCATTTTCTTCTCTTCCTTTAGAACCGCCTGAACCAGAAATCCGGTCTAATTGGACAGAAGCGTTTCTTGGGGAAAAAGTGTCTTTGCAGTGTGTGATTCAAGGTGTTTCAGAAAACTGGAATTATATGTGGTTCAGTGACTCAAGCAAAATCATCTCCAGTGGTGAAACAAACATAAAAGGAAACACTCTCACACTCTCAGTGAAGTCCAGTCATGACGGGGCCTATATGTGTCAAGCTGAGCTGCAGGGCAGAAAGGTGACGACTGCAAAAAGCAAACCACATTTGTTAACAGTTAAAGGTAAGAATCTGTTATCTGCATTATCAGCATGTCATGGTTAAATCATAATCTGTCACATTGTGAAATACAGCCATTAAAAAAAAGGCCTAATTTCAGAAAACAGTTCATTGAATTTTGCAATGTTTTTTAAATGATTTAAGATTGAGTTTTAGTGCTGTTTATTTCCAGCCTCAGTTTAAAGTCACCATGAAATAAAAAATGACAATTAATTTTTTTTTACACAGTGCTTAAGTATTTATTATAAATGATTTATCCGTGCACATCACAAATTTTTTTATTCATTTGCACTTGTAAAATGTGTCCCCTCCCCCTCTCAACGACATCTCTTCTCTTCATGATGTCAGACTCTGAAAAGGGGTTGGACTATACTGACTGTCCAATGACCAGGTTTTTAGCACCCTTCACCGGTAGTTTGATTGACAGGCGATCTGACCAATCATAATGCTGAAAACACCATTTTGTCCCACAAACAAACCATACAGAAAAGTTAATAGATTAACGTCAGTAGAGTCAAACTTGAAAATGGTGTATGGACATCTTTCTATGGTTGAGACAACATACCTTCTGATGTTCATTCATGTGTATTTCATGCTATAACTAGCAGGAAGTGATCGATTCACATTTGAACCGCTTGGACTGAGGTGCTACAGCGATCTGTCACATTAAAGAGCCACACAATGGCATTTACTGTTTGAATTTCTTTTTTAAAAAATGACAAATTGTCAGTGTCCTCTTTGCTCTGCGATGTATGTTTCACTGCGTGATGATGTGTGGCGTTAGAACGCAGTCGTCTCAGTTCAAGGGCGTGAACCGATCATCTCTTCCTCTTTACCACTTGTTATAGCATGAAATTACATTGTTATTTATCTGTGCAGAATTGCCTCAGCCGAAATTGTCAGTAGAGTCTCAATGGAATATGTTTTACCCAACTGAGAGAGTGACTCTGAAGTGTTCAGTTGATGAAGAGTCAAATGACTGGGGCTATGAATGGTTTAAAAACAGAGGTTTGCTTAAAGAGGATGAGGACATTTCCTTTCCTGGAAACACACTCTCCATCAGCTCAGCAAAAGCAGGTCATTCAGGAAAGTACACATGCAGAGGAAAACATCTGACGAGAACATCGGTGACTACAAGAGAAGCTGAAGCTGTGCAACTTCATATTCAGGGTAAAACTACTTATGATATTATATGATTAATAGATATGAATGAAAAGTGACAGGAACCCAAGAGAGTCCTGTGAAAAAGCTGTAAAAGTAAAAAATCTCAGGAAATGCATGAACATGTTAGCGTTAGGCTCTGTGTTATCTTTCTGACCACATTCAACCTCCATTTTTTTCTCTTCTTTTAGAACCGCCTGAACCACAAATCCGGTCTAATTGGACAGAAGCGTTTCTTGGTGAAAAAGTGTCTTTGCAGTGTGTGATTCAAGGTGTTTCAGAAAACTGGAATTATATGTGGTTCAGTGACTCAAGCAAAATCATCTCCAGTGGTGAAACAAACATAAAAGGAAACACTCTCACACTCTCAGTAAAGTCCAGTCATGACGGGGCCTATATGTGTCAAGCTGAGCTGCAGGGCAGAAAGGTGACGACTGCAAAAAGCACATCACATTTGTTAACAGTCCATGGTAAGAATCTGTTATCTGCTTTATCAGCATGTCATGGTTAAATCATAATCTGTTACATTGTGAAATACAGAAAATTCAGAAAACATTTAATTGAATTTTGCAAGTTAATAAGCTTAATGCTTGTTTAAAATTTCATGCACATCACTATTTTTTTTTAATTATTTGCACTTGTAATCATTAATCAAAAACTTTAACCTCCCCTCCCCCTCTCAACGACATCTCTTCACTTCATGATGTCAGACTCTGAAAATGGGTTGGACTATACTGACTGTCCAAAATGTTAATGATAGGCATGCTAATGAGTAACTAGTTAATAGTGAGAATTGGTCCCTATCCTAAAGTGTTAATTAAATTGCATAAAGTATAATACAGTCAAAAAATGTCTAGTTATTACATTGTTATTTATCTGTGCAGAATTGCCTCAGCCGAAATTGTCAGTAGAGTCTCAATGGAATATGTTTTACCCAACTGAGAGAGTGACTCTGAAGTGTTCAGTTGATGAAGAGTCAAATGACTGGGGCTATGAATGGTTTAAAAACAGAGGTTTGCTTAAAGAGGATGAGGACATTTCCTTTCCTGGAAACACACTCTCCATCAGCTCAGCAAAAGCAGGTCATTCAGGAAAGTACACCTGCAGAGGAAAACATCTGACGAGAACATCGGTGACTACAAGAGAAGCTGAAGCTGTGCAACTTCATATTCAGAGTAAAACTACTTATGATATTCTATGATTAATAGATATGAATGAAAAGTGACAGGAACCCAAGAGAGTCCTGTGAAAAAGCTGTAAAAGTAAAAAATCTCCGGAAATGCATGAACATGTTAGCGTTAGGCTCTGTGTTTTCTTTCTGACCACATTCAACCTCCATTTTCTTCTCTTCTTTTAGAACCGCCTGAACCAGAAATCCGGTCTAATTGGACAGAAGCGTTTCTTGGTGAAAAAGTGTCTTTGCAGTGTGTGATTCAAGGTGTTTCAGAAAACTGGAATTATATGTGGTTCAGTGACTCAAGCAAAATCGTCTCCAGTGGTGAAACAAACATAAAAGGAAACACTCTCACACTCTCAGTAGAGTCCAGTCATGACGGGGCCTATATGTGTCAAGCTGAGCTGCAGGGCAGAAAGGTGACGACTGCAAAAAGCACATCACATTTGTTAACAGTCCATGGTAAGAATCTGTTATCTGCTTTATCAGCATGTCATGGTTAAATCATAATCTGTTACATTGTGAAATACAGAAAATTCAGAAAACATTTAATTGAAATTTGCAAGTTAATAGGCGTAATGCTTGTTTAAAATTTCATGCACATCACTATTTTTTTTAAATCATTTGCACTTGTAATCATTAATCAAAAACTTTAACCTCCCCTCCCCCTCTCAATGACATCTCTTCACTTCATGATGTCAGACTCTGAAAAGGGGTTGGACTATACTGACTGTCCAATGACCAGGCTTTTAGCACCCTTCACCGGGAGTTTGATTGACAGGCGATCTGACCAATCATAATGCTGAAAACACCATTTTGTCTTACAAACAAACTAGACAGAAAATTTAATAGATTAATGTCAGTAGGGTCAAACTTGAAAATGGTGTATTGACGTCTGTCCATGGTTGAGACAACATACCTTCTGATGTTCATTCATGTGTATTTCATGCTATAACTAGCAGGAAGTGATCGATTTACATTTGAACCGCTTGAACTGAGGCACTACAGCGATCTATCACATTAAAGAGCTACAAAATGACATTTACTGTTTGAATTTCTTTAGAAAAATGATACATTTTGAAAGCTGACACTTTGTTTCACACCAAAAGTAACCTGCTCTGTCTTTTTTGACAGTGCATTGTCATTGTCCTCTTTGCTCTGCAATGTATTTTTGATGTGTGGCGTGAGAACGCAGTCATCTCAGTTCAAGGGTGTGAACCGATCATCTCTTCCTCTTTACCACTAGTTATAGCATGAAATAAACATGAATGAACATTAGAGTTATGTTGTCTCAGCCGCTGAAAAATGTCAATACACCATATTCCACTGACATTAATCTAATTCTCCAGTTTGGGTTGTTTGTCAGACAAAATGGCGGATTTGGCCAAAGTCCCTTTAAGGCAAGTCATTTCACTCGGTGGCCATCTTTGAGACGCCTCTCGGGCATGCAAGTGCAGCTCCTATTTCTTTGAAATGGGAAACATCAAATTCTCTTAAGATTAAATTTCATATTTGAAACCATCAATGAAATCTGACAACAACCGTCTCATAAATGTTGTTTCTTATGCTCCAATAGTGTTAAAAAAGCATATTTTTCAGGCTAGACCAGCCAGTGCGCATGCGCAGTCCTAAGCGCACGTCTATGAACGCTGACTGTTTCTAAAGCAACCAGGACTTCTAACGGCAGCTGCAGTAATGCGATGACTTTACCGATTAGCGATTGGCTCTTTTACTCAGAAGGAGGGGCTTCGTTCGATAGAGCGGCCATATTGAGTGTTGTATTTTTCCCCATTCAAAACTATATGAGTGACACGTATTGTGTATTCTATAGTCTTTGATTCGGCATTATGATTAGTCAGATCGTCTGTCAATCAAACTCCTGGCAAAGGGTGAAATCCCTCCCTACATTCCAGAAGCCGTTTCACTCGGATATATGTCACAATAGGGAAGAAAAGACTATCTCAACTTCCATTTAATGCCGACTTTAAGCAAATGTTTCTTGGTGTTTCCATTGAAATCATACATAAAAATTGCAGTCACACTTTATTTTAATGTCCAATTCTCGCTGTTAACAAACCATTAACTACGACTTTTGCCTGAATAAACTCCTAACTTGCTGCTTATTAATAGTTAGAAAGGTAGTTAAAGGGTTAGCTCACCCAAAAATGAAAATTAGCCTACAAATTACTCACCCTCAAGTCATCCTAGGTGTATATGACTTTCTTCTTTCAGACGAATCCAGTCGGAGTTATATAAAAAATTGTCTT